ATTTAAACGACTGTTCATCTTATTGAATGTTCGGCCAGCTGCTGATTGGGCGGCTCGCTCGCCTTTCTGTTTTATAAGAGCCCAGAGGGAGCTGCAAACAGGGTGAGTCAGGAGGTGGGGGGAGGGGCTTAAACAGAACTTTTCTGGGATGGAAGATGTGTGTGTGTGAGAGTGTGAGAGTGTGAGAGTGTGTGTGTCCTGCTTGCCTGCCCTTGTTCTGCTCTCTTGTAAGTGCAGAAGTACTAGAATAGTGATAGATGATAGATTATTCATGCCTGCTCTGTTTCTGGGGACAAATGAGTGCAAAAAGCACGCCACTTCCTGTTTGTGTGTTTGTGTGTGTGTGTGTGTGTTAGTTTACCTGCTTGTGAAGTCACTGAAGTCACTTCTTAACCTTAAATTCACAATAAGCTAACAGGGCGGGGCTTTGAATAGTAAAAACACTTGAACAGCACACTGAATGTGGCCTCCAAACAGGCTGTGTGTGTGTGTGTGTGTGTGTGTGTGTGTGTGCGTGTGCGTGTGCGTGTGCGTGTGCGTGTGCATGTGTGTGTGTATGTGTGTATGTGTGTGTGTGTGTGTGTGTGTGTGTGTGTGTGTGTGTGTGTGTTTGTTTAATGTGTGTGTATGTGAAAGTGCCTTTTTTTTAACCCTCGTCTTTTTGGGGGTGACTTGTCGTCTCGCATGTCCTGAAAGAAGAGCAGCAGCACTCTGAAATAATCGTGTTTAGTAGATGAATAATTAATTAATTAATTAACCCATTGTGACTTTGCACTTTGATGTTTGAGGTCGTGTACTTGGCATGTAGCATCATAACATGTTGGTGCATTTAAACTCACAGAGGGAGCGTTTCTTTGAATGTGTTTCATAATAAAGGAAATGGTTTTTGTCTGTTAGTGTTGCTGTATTCCTAAAGATGAGCTCGTATAGCCAAAAGGATCGTATCAATGTGTTGTATCATGATTATTATAAATACATCAGAATGAAGTAGAATCATTAACTGATGGGACCTTTCTCCAAATGAAATGTGGCTAAATGTGTGAACACTCAATAAACCTCCAGGTGTGTTCTGTCCAAAACAAACTGCTTTCTTCTTTATGTCTCTTACAGTGCAGTCAGTGAACGCATCACCATTTAGATTCACTGCCTCAGGTTAATCAGTCAGTGAACGCAGCACTAGTCGAATGCATTCTAAGATTTAAAGCCCCTTTTAGTGTAATTTATCTCCACATTTTTCTAAACATAAAAAAAATAATTCAATCGGCACTTGGCGGTTAATTCTGGTACTTTTTGAAAAAAGAATCTCTCGATGTCGCCAAATCAAAACATAAGAAATCCATGATGTCTCTGCAGTGAGGACTTTTATTGTGAAGGAAACGACGACACGTGGAATCATCTCAAAGCTTTATTGAACACAGTGATTTTATATATTTAAGAGTAAAAAGGAAACATGTTAAAACTTAATCATTAAAATCATAAATCTATTTGAAATAAAGGTTGAGAGAGGAAAGTGCGCTTCTTTGGTCTGGAAGGTTTTTGGTCGTCTCCTCAGCCCTTTGAACCCGGTTTGAGGGTGCTGAAAGGTTTGGAGTTCCTCAGGGAGCAGGAGATCTCCTGCAGGAAGGCAGCAATGTGCAGATCCTTCTCCGACTTCCTGCCGTCAAAGATCACCACCAGAGTGAAGTGCGGCTCGGGCCGCGTCAGGTAGTACGTGCTCTGGACTTTATCGTCATAGAAGTGCGTCACCTTGTCCAGAGTGTTGAGCTCTGCGGCGCGGTCTCCCATCATCATGATGACGTTGGGCCAGTGTGTGAGAGGCCGCTCTCCTGAAGGTAGAGACACCACGGCGGGGAACTGCTCTACGCCCTTGGGCGCCTCTCTGTAGGAGTGCGGGTGGTGGTAGCCGTGTCCCTGGAAGCTTTCTGAGCCGCGGTTGTCGAACACCAGCGACACGTTGCTGGCGTCGTGTTTGCGGATGAAGGAGCAGATCTTGCCGTGGTAGTCTGGCGTGGTGCGGGCGGTCAAGGCTCTCATGTCAGTGGGCGGCGTCTGCCGGCTCAGGGCTTCATGGAAGTAGAAGCTGAACTTGGCGAGCAGCGCTGCCTGGAAACGCTGCAACCACATGTAGAGGTGTGGAGGCTGCACGGCCTTCTGGGACTGACCTCCAAACAGATTCTTGCGGGTTTCTTTCTGCCGCTGGAACAGCTGACCCCAGGCCGTTAGCTTGGAGTTAGCAGCATGCAGGCTAAGCAGAGCGGGCAGGAAATGCCACTCTGAGATCTGAGCCTGGCAGCGCAGCAGCTGTGTCACCACATCGACCTCCGTCTGGAAACCCTCCTCCACTCGGCCCAGGATCGGGTGGTGGAACCTGAGAGAGCGAGGAAGAGGAGGTTAGTGAGAAAACAAATGTAAAGACTCGATGAAACTAAAGCTGAGCTCAGTGTCAGAAGAGTTCAGAGCTTTTATTCAGGTGGAAGCTGTGGTTCTACGTTACAGCAAAATAAAAGTTCTGCTTTCAAAATCGGCAGTAATATCAGGAAAATGAAGAGACGTTTAATGATGTTTGATTCATGCGTACACCTCTCTTGTGAAAGCAAACAGCAGCAGCTTGAAGCTCTACAGGAACTTCATGAAGAAGATTTGGAGCGACCCCTAACTCAGCTAACCCTCCTGGCTTTATGTGAAGTGGTGATGAAACATGTTGGATAATGAGCCTGTGACAAACTCATACACACTTGGTGCTGTATTTGTGCAGGACGGACTCCAGCGTGGACACCAGCTCCTCCGAGTTGATGCTCTTCTGGCCGCCCAGTGAGTGCATCTTCTCGTACAGGTCGGCCATCTCCATGCGAGCCTGCGTGAAGTGACAGAGCTGCTCCGACAGGTGTGACAGCAGGTCCTCCAGGTAGGAGGCGGAGCCCGGCTGGCTGTGACGCCCCATCGACACCACCTTCCTTAGCTCGTTGTACAGAGAGGTGTAGATGGTGCGGATGGAGTCTTTGCGGCTGAAGAAGGACTGACCTCCTACAGCGAGAGGAAATCAAAACTTCAGTTTGTGTCTCAGACTTGTTTTCAGCTTCCTGGGCTACAGCGCCACCTGGTGTTGGACACAAATAGAAACATGTGGCTGTCTTTACTTTGTTGACATCAGCAGAGACAGTCACGGTCTAGTACGCCTTCTATATCAGCGGCTCTATATCATGTATTTATATCATTTAATAATATTAAATACATGTTAATAACATGTTAATAACATACCCATCTTCTGACCCAGGAATGTCATGTTGTAGTACACCTTCTCTATCATGTATTTATATAATTTATACATTTTAATAATATTAAATACATGTTAATAACATGTTAATAACATACCCATCTTCTGACCCAGGAATGTCATGTTGTAGTACACCTTCTCTATCATGTATTTATATCATTTATATCATTTAATAATATTAAATACATGTTAAGAACATGTTAATAACATATTAATAACATATTAATAACATATCCATCTTCTGACCCAGGAACGTCATGTTGTGGTACACCTTCTCTATCATGTATTTATATCATTTCTATTATTTAATAATATTAAATACATGTTAATAACATGTTAATAACATATTAATAACGTACCCATCTTCTGACCCAGGAACGTCATGTTGTGGTACGCCTTCTCTATCATGTATTTATATCATTTAATAATATTAAATACATGTTAATAACATGTTAATAACATATGAATAACATACCCATCTTCTGACCCAGGAACGTCATGTTGTGGTACGCCTTCTCTATCATGTATTTATATCATTTAATTATATTAAATACATGTTAATAACATGTTAATAACATGTTAATAACATGTTAATAACATACCCATCTTCTGACCCAGGAACGTCATGTTGTGGTACACCTTCTCTATCATGTATTTGTATCATTTATATCATTTAATAATATTAAATACATGTTAATAACATGTTAATAACATATTAATAACATACCCATCTTCTGACCCAGGAACGTCATGTTGTGGTACACCTTCTCTATCATGTATTTATATCATTTATATCATTTAATAATATTAAATACATGTTAATAACATGTTAATAACATATTTAATAACATACCCATCTTCTGACCCAGGAACGTCATGTTGTGGTACGCCTTCTCTATCATGTATTTATATCATTTATATCATTTAATAATATTAAATACATGTTAATAACATGTTAATAACATATTAATAACATACCCATCTTCTGACCCAGGAACGTCATGTTGTGGTACACCTTCTCTATCATGTATTTATATCATTTATATCATTTAATAATATTAAATACATGTTAATAACATGTTAATAACATGTTAATAACATATTAATAACATATTAATAACATACCCATCTTCTGACCCAGGAACGTCATGTTGTGGTACACCTTCTCTATCATGTATTTATATCATTTAATAATATTAAATACATGTTAATAACATGTTAATAACATATTAATAACATACCCATCTTCTGACCCAGGAACGTCATGTTGTGGTACACCTTCTCTATCATGTATTTATATCATTTATATCATTCAATAATATTAAATACATGTTAATAACATGTTAATAACATATTAATAACATACCCATCTTCTGACCCAGGAACGTCATGTTGTGGTACGCCTTCTCTATCATGTATTTATATCATTTATATCATTTAATAATATTAAATACATGTTAATAACATGTTAATAACATATTAATAACATACCCATCTTCTGACCCAGGAACGTCATGTTGTGGTACGCCTTCTCTATCATGTATTTATATCATTTATATCATTCAATAATATTAAATACATGTTAATAACATGTTAATAACATATTAATAACATACCCATCTTCTGACCCAGGAACGTCATGTTGTGGTACACCTTCTCTATCATGTATTTATATCATTTAATAATATTAAATACATGTTAATAACATGTTAATAACATATTAATAACATACCCATCTTCTGACCCAGGAACGTCATGTTGTGGTACGCCTTCTCTATCATGTATTTATATCATTTATATCATTCAATAATATTAAATACATGTTAATAACATGTTAATAACATATTAATAACATACCCATCTTCTGACCCAGGAACGTCATGTTGTGGTACGCCTTCTCTATCATGTATTTATATCATTTATATCATTCAATAATATTAAATACATGTTAATAACATGTTAATAACATATTAATAACATACCCATCTTCTGACCCAGGAACGTCATGTTGTGGTACACCTTCTCTATCATGTATTTATATCATTTATATCATTCAATAATATTAAATACATGTTAATAACATGTTAATAACATATTAATAACATACCCATCTTCTGACCCAGGAACGTCATGTTGTGGTACGCCTTCTCTATCATGTATTTATATCATTTATATCATTCAATAATATTAAATACATGTTAATAACATGTTAATAACATATTAATAACATACCCATCTTCTGACCCAGGAACGTCATGTTGTGGTACGCCTTCTCTATCATGTATTTATATCATTTATATCATTCAATAATATTAAATACATGTTAATAACATGTTAATAACATATTAATAACATACCCATCTTCTGACCCAGGAACGTCATGTTGTGGTACGCCTTCTCTATCATGTATTTATATCATTTATATCATTCAATAATATTAAATACATGTTAATAACATGTTAATAACATATTAATAACATACCCATCTTCTGACCCAGGAACGTCATGTTGTGGTACGCCTTCTCTATCATGTATTTATATCATTTATATCATTCAATAATATTAAATACATGTTAATAACATGTTAATAACATATTAATAACATACCCATCTTCTGACCCAGGAACGTCATGTTGTGGTACACCTTCTCTATCATGTATTTATATCATTTATATCATTCAATAATATTAAATACATGTTAATAACATGTTAATAACATATTAATAACATACCCATCTTCTGACCCAGGAACGTCATGTTGTGGTACGCCTTCTCTATCATGTATTTATATCATTT